CAGTTTACTTAGTAAATTTCTATAATAAAGTAGATAGAAGAGTTTTAGTATTTAATTATTATATCTCTGTAAATAAACAACTTAGAGATATAAAACTTGGCCACCTAAGTGTAAAATTATACCAGGAACAACTTTACTTAGACATCCAGAAGTAGTTATTTAATAAAATTTTGAGTTTTTATCAGTTTTGTGCTGTAGAAAATTAGTACAAATGATTGTCAGAAAGAGTTAATGATTTGTGTCCCTTAAAGAAGATTTTAGTTAAGGATAAATTAATAAATATAATATAAATTTAAATTAAAAAGTGATCTACTATTATATGAAAAACATGTAAGAATAAACAGACCAGAATAAGAACAAAAAATGAAAAAGAATTTTTATAAGAAAGTAAAAATTAAATTTAATTGTAATCTAATTAATATTAGATTATAAATCTTTATTTAAAGTTTATTTTGACCAAATAAATGTACTCTATACTTTTACTTAAGAGTATAGAATAAGTTATAATAACAACTTTTATATAAAGTTTGAATTTGTAATTTCTAAGAACCAAAAACTATTAATACAATTTTTTTATGAGTTTAAATTCTAAAGACTTGAAACTTTTAAGATAAATATAAAATTTAGTACTAAATAAGTTTACTTAAGAATATAAAACAATTTAACTTAGTAAAATAAATAGTTATAAATATTTTTATATAGATGAATTTTTAATTAAAATTTGCATAAAAGATTTGCAAAAAGAGTCCTATTGAGTTCTGCTTATTATATAATATCATTTAACTATGCAGAAAATTAAAGACATTTTTGAAATAGTAGTCTATTGCCTTAGTAATATTCTAGATTTCTGATCTTATGATGTATGACTACTAATTTCAATGTCTGCAGTTTCATATTGTAACAGCCTTATAGATTTTTTTTTTTTATTCTCCTTTTTATATGTTGATCTTTTTAAATTGGTTTTACTAATTTTTAGTATCTTTTGTTAACAGATTATGCTTATCTGAATGTCTCTAATTCTTTAGTCATGTATTCTGATATATGAATCTTTGTTCTAAGAATTGGAACTGTTTAACTATTTAAAAATTACTCTATAGTTTTGGGCAAAATTATGTTAGTTATAGGCTGGAATTATTTTAATGCCAGTCAAATTAAATAGTCAAATGGTTAAATAATTAAATGATTAAGAAAATTTTAGGTGGTTCCAATCCCTACTTTGTTCTTTTAACAGAAAGGATTCTTTAACAGATCATTTTCAATCATGGTTCTAACAAAGTCTTATCTTCTAGTTGGATTTGAACTTGTAACCTTGCAGGTCTTTGTAATTGTAACTTAGAAGACTAACAACTGTATTATTAACTAACAGACCTGTATATATATATATCTGAAATAGCAATTTATTTAAAGTAATGCCTAACTAAAATTAGGCTTCTAAAATTAGATTTTTATGCATATATTTAATTTTAATTTTGCTAGAGCACTATTTTAGATATATAAAGTAACTATTTTAGATAAATCACTACTTAGGGTGAGTCAGTTACATTTATAACTAATCAATAACTAGCCATAACTGTAACTTATATTGATTAGTCAAAGGTTTGTGACTGACTAGTTAAAATCTTGACTAATACTTTTTAATAATGTTTAATTGATTTATTATAATGTTTGCTATTATATTATATAATAATAAGTGATTTGAAAAATAATAAGTTTAAATTATTTTTTTCTTGATGTTAATTATATATAGAAATAAGCTCAATGCTATTATTGGTTATAATTATAATAAATTATAACATTATTTGTTGCAATTCATTATAATAATAACTTATTACAGCATTTGTATACATGCTCTAATATTCATAAATAAAATAATTTATTTTAATTAAGAAAATACTGATACATATTAATTAACAAATTTTATGATAACACTCATACCAATAATCATGATTCTTGTGATTTAGAAGTGCAATGAAAGATGTTTAAGAATAAGTTAATAATCTTAAAAATCACATATAAATAACTTTATTTTGCATTATAGTAATTCTGTTTTATCTTAAGTTTTACTTTATAATTTATTAATAACATAGCCACAGTCATAACTATTATATGCTGGCAATTATAAATAATGTGACACAATAATTTTTATAATAAAACATAGTAACTATTAAAATTTTTGCTCTATAATAAAATTTTTAGAAAAAAATTTTAAACTTAATGTTTTTACATCAAAATAAATTTCACCAATTGTAGTTTCTAAAAAATATTTTTAAAAATTTTATAATAAAGTTGTTCTAAGATTAAGACCCTAGTAAAAAAAATTTATAAGTAATACTTATAAATTTTTTTTACTAGAGTTTCGATCTTAAAACAAATTTGTCATCAAAATTTTTAAAAAATCTAAAAAAATATTTTTTAAAAACTACAATTGGTAAAATTTATTCTGATATAAAAAAATTGGATTTAAAATTTTTTTTTAAAAATTTTATTATAGAGCAAAAATTTCAATAGTTACTATGTTTTATTATAAAAATTATCATGTATTGCATTATATATAATTGCCAGTGTACTGAACTTCTCTAGCATAACTACCAAAAAACCTGGACATGTCATCTTTGGGGCTTATATTTGCTAATTAATACATATATTCAAAATTACTATTAGCTATATAATATATATATAGTAATTGTTATAATTGTTATTGTTATTATTTTTTTTTATATTTAACTCAATTGATGATGCTATATAAATCACATATTCAGGTTTTTTTTGTGATTACATTGTAGTAGCTTATTATACTGCTTACTAATCCTGATTAAATATGCATATAGATCTGATTAATATTTGGATGAATAGAAAAGTTTTGTTGCAAACCTACCTAATAACTGAGAAGTTATTAACTAATTATATGACTGGTTGAATAACTGTGGTCAGTTGGTTATAAGTAAATAACTGCCAATAACCAACTAATAACTGATTATAACTAACCAGACCCACTCCTAATCACTACTTCAGATGCAAAATATATATCTTACAGCTATTATCATAATTCTTGAGACATTTGTTAAAATTGACTAAATGATTTTTAGCCAATTTGGTTAAACTTATAATTTTGGCATAATAAATTCTATAAATTGATATGTATATATATGTATATATGTACCAGATAGCTAATATAAATATTATATAAACTGATACAAATATCTCTAGTTAAATATATAAGCATTATACTTTCAAAGCATCTTCGCTGACAGATAATTAAAAAAAATTTAAAAAGCTTGTCATTTCGAAAAGTGCAAAACACCTAGATGTTAACATGTAATTTATAAATTAAGTTCTCAAGCATATGGATGCACCATAGTGCATTGACTAAAGACCCAGGGTCTAATATAAAAATACCTGAAAAAAACTTATAAAATACCTGTGAGTATTTTGACTATTACTAGGTCAAAATTTTAAAATTTTATCAGAATTGCATAATTTTACATTATATGTTATATTCAGGTATTTTGCAAAGAAAGTCTTTTAGTTAGTGCACTACTACAGTATTAAAAAACTTTTGCAATACATTTTCGACCAATGTTAATAAAAACATCTCTAAACCAGTCAACAAATTCTTGATCATATTCAGCTTTTTAATATTAACTCCTGCTTGTATAATATGTTTATTATAAAAGTTTATTTTATATCTGAAGCCTTTCTTATATTGCCTATTGAGATTTATTTGTTGACAAAAACAGCCTTTTTCATAAGTTTTTGTATAAACTAAACATGCTAAACATGTGCAAGTATCAACTGAAAATTTAATACTATCGAATGCATTGACATTTGTAAAGATAAAATTATCCATATATTATATATAATTTTTATTATGTGAATAACATTGGCCAAACTTTCATAAATCTGACACAAAAATTAAAATTCTATGATGGATGTCTAGTAATACTAACAAAGTTCTGTAATGCTGGTGCAATGATCATGTGTTAGTGCTTTATTTAATGAACTGCATATACATACATATATACAATTTTTTTTCAATATCAAAAACTTAACTGAATAGGCCAAAAAATCATTTAGCCAATTTTTATAGGTGTCTCAAGTAGAGATAAGAAAAATGCATATTTTAAAATAATATATGCATAAATACATATAAATACACATTAATGTGCATAATACAAAAAATGCACATAATACCACATGATAAAAAATCAATATTTTTTTTTTAAATTTATATCTTTATTATTTGCTTTGTTATAAATAAAGATAAATTCATAATCAGATTTTGCCAAAATATATAAATTTTTACTTAAAATTTGCTATTTATAAATGTAATAGTTAGCTTGAGTTTATATAATTTTTTTGACAATCATTTTCCAATACCTAAATATAAATTTATCTAATTCAAACTATAAATCTAACCAATTTTGTATACTAATTCAGTTTGTCTAAATATATAAATCTTATTTGTTTTTTTTCAATTTTTTATTTTTTTTTAATTTTTTTAATTTTTTTATTTTATATTTTTTTGTTTATTTTATATTTTTTCTTTTTTTGTATTTTTTAATTTTTATTTTTTTTTGATTTTTAAATTTTTTATTTTTTTTAAATTTTATTTGTAAGATTTATAATCATTACTAAAATAATTTTAGTAATCTTATATTTAATCTATTTTAATATTCATTATTTTTTTTAGCAAATATTTTTCTAAAAATTTATCATTTTTAGAAAGTTCATCTATAGATATATCAAACCTTTTTTTTTAAATTACTAGTTTCAAAATCTTCATTATTTATATTAATATCATCTAAACTATTATTTAATTTATCTTTATTATTGTTCTTATATATATTATCTAAATAATTATTAATATTTTCTTTTGTATCACTATTTATATTACTATCCAAATCATTATTTAAATTATAATCTAAATTATTATTCAAATTATCATCTAAATTATCATCTAAATCATCATCCAAATTATCATCTAAAATTTTATCAATATAATAATTTAAATTATCATCTAAATTATTATCAAAATCATCATCAGAATTATAATCTAAATTATCATCTGAATTATTATCTAAATTATTATTTAAATTATTACTAAATTATTATTTTCTTTATTATCTAATTTAAATATTTCAGATTAATTTCTATTTTTAATATCTTTAGCTTTATAAATTTTTTGAGTAATATGAGACAATTGTAATCTATAATTACTATATATATAAACTAATTTAAATACTCTTGCTTTAGTTAATCTTTAATTTTTTTTTTATAAATAAATAATAAATTTAACTAATTTTTTTTTATTGCTACTAAAGAAGTTGGAATAGATAATATTTTATAAATTAATTTAGTTAATTCAGGTGCTAATTCTTGAAAATTTTCTTTTTATCAACTTATAGAATCAATTTGATTTATAGATTTCTAAACTATTTTATTATTAAATAGTTTTATATTAAATAATTTGTTACCAAATAATTGATAAATTATAAGAATAATATTTAGAAATAAAAATAGAAATAGTTGTTATAAAATTATTTGGTAATCCATTTCCAATAATCTTAGAATTAAGAAAATTAGTAATTTTTATTACAATATAATATGATTCATTTTATCTAATTTTTAATATATCTTTAATATCTTATTATTAATATTAAAAAATTATATATATATATCTTTAATATCTTCTATATTAATTTAATAAATAATTTAATTAATAATTAGATATTTTTAAATATTTAATAATTAATAATAATATAAAATATAATTGGATCTCTTTTTGATTATATTTTTAAAATACAAAAATAATAATTATATAAAATAATAATTATAAAAAATATAATAATAAATATATAAAAATAAAAATAATAATTTAATAAAATAGATTAATATAATTCAAAAAAAATTATAATAAATTTATAATTATAGAAAAATAATTATAAAAAGATCTGATTATATTATTATAAATTATTAATAATAAAATTAATTAATACTTATTATTTTTAATTAATTTAAAATAATTATAATATCATTTATAAAAATAAGATAGTTGAAGAGTATCACATTCAAATATACTAATTCTAATTATTAAATTTTTTAAAATTTTAATTAATTTTAAAAAATTATACTAATATACTTTACTATTAACTATTTTTTTAATATTTTTATCTATATTATTTTGATTTGTAATTAATTCTGTAATAGTAAAACTAATTACAACATGATTAACTTTAACTAATTCTATATATATATATAAAAATCTCATTTAGTTTTTGTAGATAATTTAAGTGAAATTTTGATTTTTATATTTGTTGTTAATACTTAAAAATAGTTACAAGAATATGATAATTTCTAAAAAATTTAATAATAGTTTTTTTTTATATATATTGATTTAGTCTAATTTAATTTCATAATATTTTGAATAATAAGATTTAAATTATATGCTAAACAATTCATATAAATAATATTAGAAAAAATATTATTTAAAATTTTTTAAGATTTTTTTATAACTAAGATAGTATTAGTTATTATAATACAAAGTTTAGACTTATCTATAGTTAATATAATATTTTCTATATTTTTAGCAATATTATAAGTAGTTTGATATACTTTCTTAGTAGATTTAATAAAAACAAATACTAGTTTTGGTATTGTAAAAATAAAATTAATTCAGTATTCAAAAGAAATACTAGATTTAAAAATAAATAATTTATTTTTTTATTAAAATTAAAAGAAAATAAATCATAATTTATAAATTATTAATTTAAAATAAATAATTTTTATATTAATTTATAAAAAATATATTATAGAAAAGTTATAATAATTTATACTCTATTAAACCAAATTATAATACTTCTTTATTATAATATTCTATAAGTTATCTTAATATTTAAAATTTTATCATTCATTACAAATCAAAATCAAAAATTCTATATTTTCAATATTTTTATCTACTTTTAATTTAGTTTTATTATATACAGTTTCTAATAATTGATCAGTTATCTTCTTTCTTGTAAGTAATTTAAATGAAGATTTATATTTTTTAATCTAGACTTTAATTAAATCTAGTTTACAAAATGAAAGAGAAAAACTACATTAAAAAATATCTTCAATAAAACTTAATTCAAGAATATCTTGTTTATTTATTGTAATATAATGAAAAAAAGTTTTAATATTTATATTATATGATGTTTTTTTGAATTATTTGATCTTAATTAGGAAATAACTTAAGAGAATGTTAATTTGAATTACTAAAATATATTTAATAACTTTCATTATTAATTTTAGAATAATTTTTAAATATGTTTTACATTTATTAATTGCTTTATTATAAGTATGAGAACAAAAATTACATTGTACTCTTAATTGTTTATATGAAAGAACTATACCAATGCCAGTATAATAAGTATAAACAAGACTTGGATTTCATGATATTTAATCACAAAAATTTAGATATGAAGAGTTAAAAGAAATAACATCCAAAAAGTTTTAAATTATAAATAAAATGTTTATAAGTTTATGATGTTGGTATAGTTTCACAAATAATTACACAAAACATTTCACTATAAGTTTCATAATAAATTATATATAAATATTGTCATTTCATAATATTTTGTAATATAAATACAATCAAATTAAGATATTAATTAAACTTCTTTTATATTATAAATTTTCTATGTAAAATTTCTATGTAAAATTTTGATGAGCAAAAATGTGCATAATTTGGAAACATGCGCATGAATGCTTATTCATGCACATGATTCAGGTTTCATGCGCACACATGATACCCATCTCTGGTTATTTCGCTAAAAGTACATGAGATTTGACCAGCGTTAGGGTTAGAGTTAAAGGTTGTATTAGAAAGGTCATATAGTAAAATTTGGCCAGTAATTTTTTTTATTAGAACATAAAATGTGATTTCTAGGCAAAATTTTGAGTTACTGGTGAAGTTTTAAAAAACCTTCGCCCTCACGTTACACGAAGATTACGCATGATCTTGCGATCTACATAGAAAATTTCTCTTTTTGGGCTTGTATCACTTGCAGAAATAAGTATAACATTATAAATATAACAATATCCACATCTAAATTTTTTATCAATACACACAACGCTTCTTACAAGCTTATAGCTGAAGTTTCTATGAATATAACACTATGAAGGATACATATCCTTGAATATGAGCAATTATTTTATCTACTTTAAATTCTTCTTATTCTTGAAATATTAATCTGAAAAGTGGTTTACTAGGTGCATACGGGTATGTACTTCAAGGTATGTTTTTGAAAGCCGGTTCATCAAAAATTTAACTGAGAAATTAAAAAAACTATTTTTTGCTTTGTAAATTGCGTAATTAAAAACTTTTAATTATTATTTGACATTTTTTTTTATATATTATTTTAGATTTACAACTTATTACCATTTTTCTTATTTATTTAGTATATAAACTTAATATGAAAAACAATTTATTGTTCAATTCTTGTCATTCTAAAATGTGTGTCAGGATTAAAGTTCTCACGAAAGTAACAGTGAATTAGAGCTGCATAACTAGCAATACAATACAATTTATATGGGCAACAACGCTGGATTTTTTTAATATTCAAAACAAATATTAGATGAGTGATGTTTATAATGATTTGATGATATTGACACGGGCGAAACGGCTAGTCAGTCGCTTGGCAAATGGACACGTCGTGTAGCTTAGTCGATAAGAGGCGGTTAGATTTGGAGAGTGGTGTGTTTATAATCATAGGTTTTATAATATAACGTCACGAAAGCAGGAAACTATTTTGGGTCAAAATGTATTGTAAGCACGAAAACTACTGTTCAGGTAGGGCACGAAGCCTTTATTATATACTGTTATATTACATATGCGCTCCTACAGCTATTAAACATACTAAACTTATTATTTAACAGATATATTCTTAATGTCCTGTATTACTTAAATCCCCGATATATCATATATCCCTTTACTTATAGTTCTTCCTTAAAACCCTTATCACCGCTATTACCCTTATAATCGCTAAAGACTCTATACGACGTTTAGGAGAGATAATCCCGCCCATATTAGGTAGGTGATCGACATAGCCGTTAGTTATTACTGTGCCACCTCGATCACCTCCTTTCACGTGCTTCCGAGATCACGTTTCATGGCTCACATTCCTCCCCAACTCAAGGTCAAGTTCCACGAGACAAAGCCAAACAACAGGAATGATTTTTCACCAGGATCAAAGACGAATAGTCCATACATTGGTAAGTATCAAATAAATTCATTTACATTGTCTTTTATTTGTTTAAGTTGATATAGCATCCTTCTTTTATTACATTCCAAGTACCATTCTGATGTTTTACCACTCAATCTCAATTTTTTGATGAGGTTTCCAATTCGATAACAAGAGCCAAGACTACATCCAGATGGTTGCAATTCTTCAGGTTCAAATGGGTATGGGTCCTTTATCTCTTGAGGGTCATCTTGGATCATTCTTCTAAATTCATTAGCCTTTCTGTTCCAATCTTCACAGGCTTTGTTCCAGTTTTCCAACAGAATATGTTATCCATCTTTAGCTGATTTTGGGCACCATTCCAATGCTGGTTTTTTGTTCTTTTCAACACTGGTTCTTTTTTTATAACAATAACCAATAAGAAATACTCTATAAACAGAATTGGCAGATTTTTTATAATATTCAAACACCTTACATTCATCCTTTTGAACTCCAATTCTATTTTGGTAGCAATAATCAACATTATACACATCATTAGCATTACTTATGTTATTAGGTCTTTGATAATAAATGAAAGCTTCTTGTTCATTCTTTGTGATATCCATTCTATCTTGATGTCTATATTCAATGTTATATATATCAACATAAGTATCAAATTCACATAGTTCCAGTTGGCTATTGCAGAGATCATATTTATTCTTTTTAGTTCTAGTTCTAGAGTACTCTTTATTTGGCTCAAATAAATAATTAGTTTTCTTTTCAACTTCAGTTCTGAAGGTTTTTTATTTGGTTTGAGTAGGTCTTCTATTTCTTTTTCATGACAGGACCTAAAACCATTTTGTCCATTCAAATTATTATTTTTAACACTTTTCAAATATTGTCTAAGTGCTTCATGATCATTCTTCTTAAGTGGTCTTTTCAATGCTAGTTCTGCTAAGATATATTTTTATAATATTATTTGCATAATTGGTTTTATTATTACTATTTTCATTTAGTTTAATGTTTTTTTGTTTATCTTGATAGGTTTTATTTTTATTAACCTTTTTTATTTTATTTTTATTTTTATAATAGTAACTGACATTAAATATTTGTTTGGAATTGTCTATCTCAATGTTTTCTATATACTTCAAATACCATTTCAACACTTTTGGTTTATTAACATCATTTTTCAGATAACAATTGTATGCCTTTTGTTTATTATCATCATGTTTGATTCTTGAACCATTTTATGATCCTAGTGCAAAATTTTTAAGCAATTCTAAATATTCATCAATTAAGTCTTTTAAAATAGTTTCAGAAACAGTTTTATTATCTGTTAATATTGGGTCTTTAATCTTATTTATCAAAATATCATTCTTTTTAACTAATATCTCTAATATATAGTAGGTATCATGAACTTCTGTTACAGATATAGCTTTTCTTTTTTAGTTGAATTTTACTAAACTAGTTTTAGAGATTCATATTAGATTATTAGAGATAATAGAGGGTTTTTGTTACTGCATACATTGAGAATGATTATACAGAACAGGTGTTGCTGATATGTTGATATATGAGAATAGGTATATAATTTTCTTCATTTTATCTTTATTAACAAATATATTTTTTAACACTTCTAATATAAATTCTAATGTCTGAAAAATTTGTTTTTTATCCAGGCTTTGATATCTAAAGGTTTTATTAATAGTTTGTTAAACCTTTTGTGCTTGTTTATTGGTAAGTATTTTAAATAAGGCTGTATATCTTTGTTCTAATGTTCTTATATCTAGGCATTTACTAATAATATGCTTTCTTCTTTTATAATAAGAGCGCTAAATTTCTTTTGGGGAGCTTCTTTAAGTCTTCTTCATTATAGCTTCTATTCTCTCTTGTTTTCAATATGTTAAGTAAGTTTTCTGCATTTCTTTTTTCTTTAATATTTATTCTTTTACTAATCAATTGTCTTTTTTTATTTTATTGTATATTTTATGCTATCAAGATACTAATTCTTATTCTACAATAACTGTTCTTGGATGTCAAATCTTACAGTCACTACCAAAATGACACAGGTGATTTAGTAAGTTAGTTGCTTCTTAAACAGATATGTTATGTAACCTACAAATGGCTAGTTAATAAGAGGCAGTTAGATTTCACAAGTGGTATATTTAGAATCATAGGTTTTATAATATAATGTCATGAAAGCAGGAAACTATTTGGGTCAAACTGTATTGTAAATATAAAAACTACTATTCAGATAGGATACAAAGTCTTTATTATATACTGTAATATTATATATGTGCTCCTATAGCTATTAAACATACTAAACTTATTATAAACATATATATTCTTAATCTTCTGTATTACTTAAATCTTTAATATATCATATATCTCTTAATGTTCTGTATTACTTAAATCTCTAATATATTATATATCTCTTTACTTATAGTTCTTTCTTAAAACTCTTATCATTTTTTTATTTATTTTATTTTTTAAACTTAAGCAGTCATGTTAGTACTTTATTAAGATTCTTGAAATTACTTTTGCAATTATATAGATTTACCTAACCACTAAGTATAGCATTATTCAGCCACCCATAGGGTACCTAAATGCAACCTGCTGCACTACTTCTAATAGAAGTAGACTACTTAAAGTCTGTAATGAAAAGGTTTTTTTCCTTTCATGACAAGCTCTAACATTGTTTTTCTAGTTTCTTCGTTAATTCTATCTTTTCTTTCTTTTGCTTATTTCTTTTTTTCTTCAACCTTTTTGCTAATTTGTCTTTCCTTTCTTTTTTGGATTCTTCTTTTTTTCTTTTTTTTTTTTATTTTAATTATTATGCCTTCTTTCTTCTCCTATTTATTGATCTATTCATACCATATCCTTCAGACTTGTTTATAGAATGTGTCTCATGCTGTCTTTGTTACTGTTTCTATAAACTTCTGTTTTGCCTTTGTATTTATAAGCTATGTTAGTCTGTTTTGTGTTTTTTTTCAGGATCAGGCTTTTGATTAATGCTTCTCTCATCTTTATCTCTTCTGCTTCACTTTTCTCAAAAAGTACTATATATAGAATATATAGTAGAGTATGAGTCTTTTCTTCTTCTCTCAACCCATTCTAGGCTGTTGTGATGGTTACTTTTTAAATTTGTTTCTACAGGCTCTGTTGTCCTTTGTATGATGCAAAATGTGTCTGTATTTCTTTAACTTTATCTTGACATACTTGGCACTCCATTATTGTATATATGTCTGGCTTTCTTCTATTAAGTTTTCTAGGGTCAGAAGTTTATTTATCATACACTTTATAAGTGCACATCTTCTTGTACTACCTCTTTTTGTCATGCAATGCACTCTTTTAGTTATTTTTAACCTTTTCCAAAATTGTGTCCAGTCATAAATCATGACTTTTTAATTGTATTTGGTTCTTTCTATTCTGCTCCTAATCTTAAATTTGTTATCAATTTACATAACAATCTTGTAGTTATGTCAGTTTGTTTGTTTTCTCACTCTAGGTAGTACTCTATCTCTTCAAAACTGACTTTCTCTATTTGTATTACTTTCTTACTTATTGTTTTCTTCTTTGCAAGGGTATCAGCTTTGTTATTCCATTTGTTTTTGCTATAACCTTTAACTTTCACTAACTCTATCTGTATACTCTTTGTGTTAATACGCTCTATAATCTTTATTATTCATATCATGTTTTTCTTCTTAAGAATTTTTATTTTATTTATTTGCTCTAAATCTCTGCTAATGTTTTTAATCACAACATTACTGTCTGTGTATATTTCTACTTGTTTTTCTCTTGGTATTGTTAGAATTGCTGTCCATATTGCTACCAATTCTGCTATTGTTGATGTCATACATTCTTCTAGACCTAATGATGTTTCTTCTTT